GAACGATATTCAGTAGGAAAAGAACTGCAAAAAAAGATGCAGAAAAATTGACAGTGAATGACGTGAGAGGACGGCTACGCAAGGAACGTATTAACTGTGCTCTCTCTCTCTTTCTCTCAGTTTTACACGCTAAGCTAGAGTTGATGGCTCGCGGGAAGATGCGGAAAATGTTCGCTCGCATCTACGTGCATAGACCGTGTTGTGGAAAACACAGCTGCAAAACACGCACGTTCCTGTCTATCTTAAGGCTGGAATTTTCTGAACCCGTTCCCGTTCTCTTTCCATTGATTTGCAATCTCTCGCGGCCAGTTTGCAATAAGTGAAAACCGCCGCTCACCGTAGTCGTCCTTCCAGTAAACGAGATATACCTAAGTGTACAAGACGGTGAAGCGTAACGGAATATTTAGGACTAGTTTTTTTCTCCCATACGAGTTCAACATTAATTAAAAATTAACGACAATGTGCGTACGTACGTTACAGCTTTTACGGACTCGGCAATTAATTAAAATAATTAAAATATATATTCGTCGTTATGACTCTGAAAATTGAATATCCCTTTCCATCCTGACGCCTCTAATTGCCACGAGCTAGAGCCGGGAATTCTCACCACCGCGGCTTCTCGATAATGGCATGTCGCCGGGTGAGAAGATCACGCTCGATATAAGCAAGGCGCGCTTTTACCTGGAAGTGGCGGAGGTGCGTGTCGGGACAGGCGGTAGTTACTTAGAGCGCGTAGACAGACCGCACGAAGGAGGAACGTGAACGCTAACGACCGGTCACGTGTCCGACGGGCGAGATAAGGGTTGAAAAAGGAAATTTGTGTTTAGAAAATTACCGCGTCATTACCCCGACTACGTCGCGGCGACGGCGGACGGCATAGGTACGCTGCTCTGTGGACGCGCGAACGGCGACACGGTAATGTCCGTCCATGAAACGATCGTCGATTGATAAGAATGAGGCGAAGAAGGAATTAGAAAGAGAGAGAACGTGAGCGCCCGCCCCGGGCCGTGTTCCCCCATTCCGCGAGAATTATCGAATATTTCACGACGATAAGCAGCAACCCCTCGAAAGCGTGACTGGATAAATTCATCGCGACGGACTTCATTATTCGACGACGACTCGAGAGTTTTCGATTCTTCATTTATATCGTGCACTCTCTCTCTCTCTCTCTCCCCCGATCCTCTCGCTGTATGTCCTCGCGGCATTATATTATTCTTTGCCCGTGACCGACTCATTAGTTCGCATTTTCTCGTCAACCAGCACTTGAAGATCTCTTTGTCGAAGATATCGCCTTTCCTTGCGGACTTTTTAGAGATGTTTATATATTTAGCCAGATTAAATCTCGCCCTGTTTATAAATCCGTTCTTAACCCGACGCTAAGTAACGCGAAAGAAAGAGAGGGGGGAGAGCTATTTGAACCGCCTAAACACTCGTCAGGAGATGTTTCGCGAGCCGGCGACATACCGCAAATGTTTGCACACGTGTAACAGAAATTGCGCGAGCAAAACGTCGGTCGTTGCTCAATCGTATAACGGTATCACAACGAAGAAGTAAGCGTCGAGTCGCCCGTTCGATTTCTAAAGAGGCGGATTTCCCTCCTCGCGTGATGGAAATTTTAATACGTATAATCCCGCTTATAAATATCAACGGTGAATGACCGTGTAGAAATGGACAAAGTGTCAAGAAGAAATGGCGCGGCAGTGGGAAATCGCAGCCCGATTCTCGCAGCTCGACGCTAACGGAGGCGGCCGGGTTTTTCGTGCGAAGTGGATTCACCGTCCGCGGTTAGGGCCGTGTCGTGTGCGTCGTCCGTTGTCCATTATACGACATAAAATTTCTTCCATCCCGCAGATAGGATCTGCTACCTCAGTCGCGTGTCCTACCGTGGGATCTGATAACGAACGAACCCCAGCACGCCCGCCCGCACATCTCTCTTTCTCGCGCTCTTTCTCTTTTTCGCGCACGCGGGGGTGAACTGATCGGCCGGCCGACCGACAGACAGGTCGGACGGATGGGGAGAGATGCGCGGAGATAGAGACGAGCGCGCGCGCATACACACGTACACACGTAGCGCGGCAGACGCGAGAACACGCACACACGCGGTAGCCTGGATCGTAGACGACCCCAATCATCCCCCACGGCGTGCTTCATCGAACGAAGGCTGTCAATATCGTCGGTATAAGCAGGCCCGATGATGTACGCGCGACGTCAACGAGTCTCCGTAAGATATCGGACGTGCTTTCGATTCGACGCGAGCGTGAGCGTGAGAAAATAGGGTGCGAACGATCGCTTTGTGCGCGGTCGTCTCTCGCCGCCGCTCTTTTTCTATCACTCTGCTCCTCGCTCTATTCTTCTTTCCCTTCTTCCTCCCCGCCCTCCTTCTCTATCTATCTGTCTCTCCTCGGATCCGATTTTCCACGGCGTCTGCCGCGCCGCCGGCTTTACATAGATAAATGACACCGCGGGGGTAAATATATGGTTTGATTAAATTCTACTTATTCGTTATTCTCGCGCGTTATTAATGCACGGAGTCGAGTGAGTGTGTGACGCTATTTATAAAGAAAGAAAAACACATTACACGTTTCAGCTATGTATCACGTTAGATATTCTCAGCGTTTTCTCTGATAACTGTTACACTGTCTCTCGTATTTTTAGTTAAATATCAGAACGGTGATAGTGCGACTAATTTTGTCGTCTCTCTTTATAGCAACTTTGTCAACGGTCGTATGTGATAATTAACCATAAATATTGCGCGACCAAGAGAAAGCTACGTGTATCCGCGTTGTATTATCACACAGCGCGCGGAAAAGAATAGAACTTTTGAGACACGGAATAGAACCTTTCGCCTTTGTCGCAGCATCGCCTCGTTGCGTATCGATGAATCGATAGTCGGCGATTGAACAATCAGTAAGAACGCACTTAGACCTTCCTGTGATCGCGACGATCCTTGTATATTTTATAGCAGGAACGAGCGGACAATATAGTAATCGACGTAGCAGGTGGCGACGGCGACGGTGGTCTCGGGCCGTTCTCGTGACAAAAGTACAACGATGATCTAGGGTGGGAAAGGGTGGAGGGTTGGCTGTGCACGGACGTAGGAGCGTAGAATAATGTAGCGAGGCATTTCCGCATAGGAAGCCGTGCATTAGGCTATCAGATCGGGCACGCTCAACGACCGCCGTTGGAGTAAGAGGTGGAAAAAGTCCGCGCGCGAACCCTTACGTGATTAGTTGTCAAAGGAAGAAATTCCGAGCGGGGAACGGCGAACGGACATCTTCGAGTTATCGAGCGATCAACTTTCCTCGGACAGACGGACCAATTTTGGACCGTTGCGATCAGTGGATAAACGGATTATTAAAAGAAGCATAATTACTATGAAAACCATATGTACACGACTTTTACTGTGGAAGGAGAGGAAAATTGATTGAATTTAATTTAAATCAATCTCGAAACTGTTCGTTATCGCGCCGACTCACCGCAGAAATCTTCTCGACTTGCTGCAGGACGCGTTTCAGACCGAATCTCATTACGAAAGATTCCGAAGAGAGCGGAGGGTAAAATCGCGAAGGAGACGAGTAAAAAAAGCCTCGGGCCGGCAGAGCCAAATGTACCGAAATATGTTGAAGCGGTAATTAGCTTTGTGCGTACGGTGAAATACGAGAGCGCAATTTTTGCCGGACGTTTGAAAGTTCCGCAAACAGACCGCGTGCTCGCTCTTTTATCTGCGATTCCGCTCTTTTTGATAGTCCCAATGAATAAAATTACAGAGTACAATAGGCTGATAATTAACAGCGATGCTTGCATCGCGCGAAAATGGACAGAATCTTTCTGCCTTTGGATCCCCGATTTCTATGCACGCGTGCAACCCGCTTCTTTGACTGCCAGCTCGGCTGTGTAACTACTATGCAACGCATCATGCTAAGCATCAGGTCAAAAACAATTCGGTGTTTCAGCACGGTGAAAAACGTCCGGAGCAAACGTTCCGCCGACTGGCCGAGTAGCGACACGAGACGGGGGCGTAAAAAAATGTTCGCAGTCCACTCGGGCCAGAGAGGAGCTGAATTAAACGAGGCTGCCCGTGCGGTTTATCCTCTCATCGGACACGTATTAGCGGCGTGGTCTTCGCGCCTCGGTGTGTAAGGACACCGACACGCGGGGGAAGACTTACGATTTTACGCGAGCGGACGTCTCATGATAAGAAAGCGGTAATAATGTACCGGCGAGGCCACGTGCTCACCGCCTTCGACCGCCTTGTATCTTGGATCTGTACTGTACTCAGCCTAATTATAATCAGGCTAATGCCTGCCGGACACTATGCGTCGGTACCTACGGCCTCCTACGCCTCTATACCTGCCGCTATGTAGGCAGCGTTACTTATCCCCAGCTGCTACGAGAGAGGGTAATTAAGATTCGGACACACCCATCGTGACTCTCGTCTCTTGGGCTCTGACCGCTTCTGCAAAGGGAGTGGTCGATCCCTCCTCGAAAACCTCGTTCTCGTTTGCATACACGAAACGTTATCAGAAACGTCTTCTACGATTTCATACTTTCGAGGGAATAGCGAATGAGGTCGAATATGTCCGAGATTCCGCCGGGGAGTGGCGACAGGACAGAGTTGCCCTCCGGGAGGTCCTCGAGATTCACTCGACACGACTCGTCCGTTCCGCCACAAGCCGATCGCGGTCCGTGCGAGAGCAATTTGCCCTCGTTAACTTTCAACTTGCGAAGTCACAGCAGTTGGTCGAATTCAACAAGAAATTCAACTTCCGTTGGTATTGTTACACCGTACCGTTAATATGTTCGTTTGTCTAAATATCGCCTCGATCACGATTTTTCTTTATGTAAGAAACGAATCTTATTTTCTACTAAATATACGTCGTTTTTAACGGACAATAGTATTGTGCGGGGAAGTATAAGCCATTTGTAGAACGATAATCAATTTGAATATCGTCCGCCGAGTGATTCTCTACTGTGGATTCAAAATATCGACTATTACTCACCGGAAATTGGAGAACCACTTGACCAGCTGCGCTGTGTTGTTTTTATTGAACTTGATATCAGGGAAGTACATCTTAAGGACGGCCGAAGACGGGTACCTGACCCAGAAGAACATCAGCTTCGCCTTCCTCAGATGCATCGGCGTCAGCGTCGACGAGTTCACCGTGGTTAAGAAAATAGTCATTTTGCTATGTGTATAAATATATACAAGTAACAGGAAATGAACGTTTTTCTCGTTCGCCCCTTGCCATTCTCTCTCACATCTTGCAATTCTAAAGACGAGGTTTGGATTAGGAGAGAAAAGCGTTGCAGAGATAGAGAGAGAGAGAGAGAGAGAGTGACGCGTACTCGTTTCGCGGATACCCGAAGTATCTCAAAAGTAATCGTGTTTTCTTTCGTATCGAATCGGATTAGAAATCATACAAGCAGTGGCTATCGCGAGGGTGGGCGGCAGAAGGGTTCTTGCCGCGAAGTTGATCTACGATTGGCCGTATCCTCAGCAGAAGCCTTACCGACTCCTTACCGGTAATAGGATCTCTCCGTGTGGTTTCATCGCGATCTTATTCAATTAATTCGTCGAATCTCTCGGGTTAACGGTATCGCGCTCTCGAGCGAAATGAACTGAAACGATCGAATTCCGCGACAGGATTTTCTCGAGAACAAGAAGGAGAGAAAAAGGGCAGGTGCATTTCGGATGCGTCGAGGGTGGCAGCGCGTACCGCGACGAGACTAGGATGCGTCCGGAGGAGCGCGGAGCAGCAGGCCGCGTCACGGCGATGCACGTCGCGCTCGACCTACCTCAAGAGAGGAGGGAGTGAAAAAATGCGCCATTGATTTTACATCAAAGGCCGACTAAAAAGGCGGCAAAGAACGACACGCTACCCGATCGAGCGACCCGGTCCAACAACGCCTGCCTGTGGATGCAGTTCCGACATTGCATCGGACGATCGGCGCTCACACGAGCCCGTGCGCGACACTCGCCTTTTTTTCCTCGTTGCACCGAGGCGAACTCCGGTCCGCGAGCCATCGAATCTCCCCGCTCTTTCGGTAACTCAGAAGCAAGCCGCGGCGTGGTGGATCATGCGTGTTAATCGGGCCGCTGAACCATTCCGCGTTCGCTTTTCTGACCATCCTAAGAGTGTGTTCTGACTAGGCGCGATTGCGGCTATTCTCATCGTCCCCGGAAAAGGTCACGAGGATTCGGCTGGCACTTGGAAATTACTCTTTGTCTACACCGAATTTCCTCAGCCGCCGTGAATTTCTAGCACAGCCGGATGTCCCGGAGAAGACCGAGAGATGAAATCCAAGCGACGTTTTATGCGATAATTGCTTAGTTCCCTCGGCGAAACGTTATGATAATATCGTAGAATTCATCATTTTCTAAGTGATAAATTTATTGTTTTGATTCGTTACATTGTTACTAGAAAAAATATTGTAAACGATTATGTACGGCGAATTATATCAATATTTAAAAACTGTCATGTGTTATTGAAGAGCGTAAGAAGAAAGAATTGTCGAACAAAGTAGTAAACTTGTTTCCAATCAAATTTCAATTCTACAGATAATTTCGAATTGCTCGAATTGCTAACTTCGATTCTACGGATAATTTCGAATCGTTATGTGTACGAACGTGCAAGATGTGACCGATATATAGTTATAAAGGTATCGATACATAGTTATATCGAAACGACGTCTTTTTCTTCACGTGAACACGCGCAATGGAAGACCGACGATGCGTATGCGCGGGGCAAAGTTCGATGCGCAAAGTTTAGCGAAACCAGCAAAAGTGGCTTATCTACGATAAGTCGAGGAGACACTCGAGATAGGAAGTTCGCGAAATGCCGAAATGCTCAGGCTGAATTGCGAAATTGCGGGACAGATTATTGGCTTGCGAAGTTGGGTGAGACTGGAGGCTGAGGGTGGGCCGAATAGGCAAAGAACTTTTGGCTCGGTGCGTTGTTGCCGGACAAACTCTACTCGTAGGTGCAGCCAACATTAGCCTAACTCCGTGGCAAACTAATCTAACATTCGTCCGAGCTTCCTCGCTCCAGCCGCCTCCCTTAGAGTGAACGAGTAGCGAGAGAGCGAACGAACGAACGAGCATGCCATTTGTTCAGCTTTTCCTCTATCTCTATTCCCCTTCCCCCTCCGCTCTCTCTCTCTCTTTCCCTTTTTCTCTCTGCTTCTCAAACATTCGCCGCTACATCCCAAACTTTTCGAGTTTTGCTTCCAGTCTACCTCGATAAATAGCCCCGTGCATCTTGGCCGTTTTACCGTACGTGTCATCTATGTTCTTTATAATCGCGGTATTTTTCCGATAGTAATTTTCTAGTTTTGTGATATAAATTCTCTCCTTTCATACTTAATAGATAGGTTATCTGAAGATCTCACGCGATGTTACTCGCTCTTCAGCGTAATAAGTATTAGTAAAGGATATTGTAGGCTGAATTCCATCGTAACTGATATCGCCTGAGTTGCAGTCGCTAGCTCGGTCGTTGCTGTCCATCCTAAGATGTCCGTAATCCGGACTGCCGTGCTGGGCTGCCGCCAGTAAGGCTGGGTGCAGCATAGCCGGCGGATGGGGCAGTGGAGGGGAATCCCTGAGTTCTACACCTCCACCCGGAGGACTCGCGGGTAGATGATGTGGCCCCGGAGGTGGTACTTGACCAGGATGACTCGCGTGAGGATTGAAAAACGGCGAATAGGGCGAGAACACTTGACTCTCGTGGAGGCTTGGATTTGGTATCGCTACGCTGGTTGGCAGGGACACCGGCAGCATCGGTGGTGGCGCGTGGTAGGGTCTCGGTGGCGGAGGAGGCGGGGGACTATCACTACCTCCTTGCGATCCGTTTCCCTCTTGCGCTAGGATTCTAGACACCGTCCTGGGAGTGATTCTCGTATCCGTCACCTGTAAAGCGTACTAATTAGTATTTTCTTTTTAGACAGATTTACCAAGGTTTTCGTAATGTAAACATTAATGTTTTAATTTAATATCATACATATTTACTATCAAGTTAAGCCGCTAAATGGAGGAGAAATTGAGAAATAAAACCTTTTTATCTCTCGATACTCTCTCTCTCTCTCTCTCTCTCTACACGTGCTTTCATTTCAACGATTTCAATTTATGTGCGACAATATTTGGAGAAAATTGTTCACAAGTCCAAATTAATATCTTTACGATACTTATACATATATGAGAAAAATGTAGTACAATTTATCGATACAAATTGTAGGAATATTTTAAACGTAATGATGCTTATTTACCTTATGACGCTTTTTCTTTGGCGTCATGACGAGCGAGAGGGCTTCGTTTTGTTCCGAATCCCTGTTTTCTCTTTCGTCGCCCCTCATATTGCAGTATTGGTCGCGTTGCTGTTGCTCCCTTTGCTGCTGCTCGCGCTGCTGTTGATGTTGCTGCTGGTGCTGCTGTTGCTGTTGCGCCTGCATGGAGGCCATGGCGTATATCGTCGGCGGTTTCGGGGTCTGAAATATTCCAGCGCTTGGTCTCCCGTGCGAGGGCAGCTGATTCATCTGGTTAAGGTTATTTTCCGTGGGACCAGCATGAGGGCCATGGGGAACACCACCTATGGACCCGATTTGCGAAAATCCCGGGGGTTGTGGAGGAGGGGGCCCACCGTTGAGGGGCCCCCGTGGCCCGTTTGGGCCACCGGGTGGTTGCGGCGCTCCTCTATCGACTACTTTCGTTCTCGGTGATTTTCTCTCGAGCATTTGGCTCGCCAGGAGAAGGTCCTTATTGAGCTGCTCGGCGGCAGCCTGCGCTGCCTCGGTCTGCTTGCCGAGAAACCTCCTCTGTTGCACGAACCTCGCGACTATACTATCGATCAGATTAGTTAAGGAAGAAGTAATTTCCGTTTTCAGGATATCCGCCAAGCCTTCCAAATCGGCTCCAGTGATGTGAGGACCGGACGAGCTGGCTGCTGCCGCGGCGCCCCTGAAGACGTTTAACCTCTCCTGGAAGTCTTTGTGTTGTATAGGCGTAGTGGCTGATTGCATCTGCGGTGTATGCGGCGTCGAAGGTCCAGTGTTGTTCTGGCTCGGTTGCTGAGGCTGGTTCGGCGGTGGCGGCGAACTCTGTCGTTGATGTTGCTGCTGCTGTTGCTGCTGCTGCTGCTGTTGCTGCTGCTGCTGTTGCTGCTGCTGCTGCTGCTGTTGTTGCTGCTGCTGTTGCCTCACGGCCGCTTCCTGATGTTGTTTCATCCTCTCGAGGGCAGCGTGTTGTTGTTCGAAGTAGAGTTTGTGCCCCATGTGATACATCGCGGCAGCCGCTGCGTGCGGGTGATCGGGTGGGAGAGCTGGGAGGCCGTTGTACGGCGGTGGGTGAGGTCGTGGAGGTCTGGGTGGCGGTTGCGGTTGAGGTTGAGGACTGGGTGGCGCGTCGCCGCTTTCGCTCGTGTCCGGTTCCATTCTACTGGAGAGCTCCATATACTTTTGCTGCATTTCCGCTAATTGCTCGTGCAGCATCTTCAGCTGGGTCTTCAAGTTGTCCTTCTCCTCCCGTTTCTGCCTGATCGTCGCCGGGTCCTCCTCCTCCTCGCTCTCATCCTCGTCGTCCATCATGGTATCGTTGACACTATGCTGGATAACGTGGTGCACCGTCTGCTGCTGCGGCTGGTAAAGCTTGCGCTTCTTGCAACCGTTAACCGTAGCCGGCTGTAGCGCCGGGCTACTGCGCATCGTGCTGACGATGTTCTCCACGCGAGCCCGCTTGATCTCCGTCGTCGGAGAGTTCGTCTCTGTCTTTGGCACGATTGGACAGGGGGAGTGACTCGGGCTACGTTTGATATTCAACGACTCCTGTATCTCTTCCTTAACAGAAACGGAGCCCGACCTCGGGGCCGTTGGGCTAGGGGGTAAGCTTTGCTCGCAGTCCGATCCGTCCAAATTCGCTCCTGGTTCCATACCGGCCTCGGCGAAAGCCTCCTCCATCGCGCGTGCCGCGGACGCGGCATCCTCAGCGCTGTCTTCAGCATCGCCCGGCATCACGGTATCACGGTCACTGTGGTTCGCGCTATTCACGACGTTATTGCCATCACCACTTTCCTCCCCGCCACTCTGCACTGTTCCACTGCGCGCACTATCACTGTTCTGCTGGTGTTGCTGGGGACTCTGCTGATGCTGGGATTTAAGTAATTCCGCGGTGGTGTTATTATTATTATTACTATGTATACTGTTATTATTGTTGGGCTGCTCCTGTACGCCGAGGGCGGAGAGCTTGCGCCCTTGCAGAAGCATGTCGCGGAGCATGTGCTGCGTGAGGTCGGCCGTGGCGGGATCGTCGCAATTAACTACAGCGCCCGGTTGCAGATTCGAGGCGGGATCCATGCCGGCGCCGGTCATCCCGTGGCCACCCTCGGGCGGTGATCCGCCAGCGTCACTGGCCTGTTTGACCTGCCGCCCTAATAACTCGTTCAGCATCTTGGCGGGGCCGAAGCCCGGAGCCCCGAAGAAGCCGAAGGCCGCGTGGGCGGAATGCTGCTGGGTTGTAGGACCCGTCGTAGCTGTACCTAAATGACTTTGACTGCCTGTAGCTCCAGCCTGCTGCTGGAGCTGTTGCTGCGATTGATGGTGCGGCGGCTGTTGCTGCTGTTGTTGCGACTGCTGCTGCGGTTGCTGTTGCGTCCCGCTACCACTGAAGATCGAGCCGTATAGACCACCGCCGAGAAAGGATGGCCGGGAGCTGAAGTTCGGTATACTCGAGTAGCTGTTGCGCGGCTCTCCGGCGTCCACGCGCTGTCTGGTGCGCTTCTGCTTCTTCAGGAGTTGCTGTTGCTTGCTTTCCGTGGTTGCTCCGTAGAGGGCGAAACACTCGGTCTCCTCCTCCGATGACATCATCGGCCGTCTGGTTGGTCGGCCCCCCGAAGGCCTCCGCGTCCCCTCCCCGCCAGGGCTCCTTGTCACCCCTCCCCTTCTCGCTCGAATAGCCCCTCGTGGCTCAGCGCGCTGCCTCGGCTTCTGCACTGTGTAGTCACTCCGTTTCTCCTACCACAGCCGCCTCTTCTCCTCGTTCCTTCTAGCTATCGCTGATCCCCACCCGCCACTTCGTCACCAGCCACCCCTCTGCTTTGCTTCCTTCACCTTCGTCGTCTCCTCGGTCTTCTTCTCCTCCTCCTCTTCCTCCACCTCTTCCTTTTCCGTCTCCTCTGCCGTCGCCGCCGCCGCTTCCTCCTCCGCCGCCGCCGCCTCCTCCTCCGCCGCCGCCGCCTCCTCCTCCGCCTCCTCCTCCTCCGCCGCCGCCGCCGACGACGACGACGTCGGCACTCTTCTCTTTCCCAACGGACTCCTGCTTCCTCCTCCTCTTCTCCTTCTTCTCCTTCTCTCGCGCCTCCTCTTCTTCTTCTTCCGTCGTTTCTCGCTTTTTCTGCGCTTTCTCTTCACTATTCCTCGCCCCGCACCTTCCGCCGTAGAGCTGACGCCAACGGCTGAGGCTGCTGCTCGGTGACTCTATGTCGGCCTTCAGCCCTCGTCTCGGGATGGCGGGTTTTCTTCGGAAGGGTCGATTCGTTATAGGGTCTGTATCCGCTGCTGTAGCGTTTCTTACTACGTTTACTGCGGTAATTGCTGTAACCGGGACCGCCGCGTCTGCTGCTTTTGCTACTGATGCGCTTGCTCCCGGTGGTCGTTGCGATGTTGTTGCCGTTGATGATAACCAGAAGAGAAGCCGGTGCTCTCGCGGGCGGAATCCTCGTGCTCCCGCCTGGGAGCTGCATCCTTCGAGCTCGCCAAAGGGCTAAGTGCCCCTCGCTCCCTCGTCTCGATTTTCGTAGCCGCAATTCTCCTATTCGTCTGCAACAAAGAGACAACGGTCCATATTAGCGATCTGTGCCGGTGCGACGGACAACCTTTGTCTATATATGCAATGACAGAATCGATTCACGGCAACAGTAATAGCACGCCGTGGATTATTTTAAGCACTGTATATAGACCGTCGTATTGAAAGAAACATCGCTTCCGCGGAAGGTACGCGCCGGTGTGTACAGACTTGGCTCTTATTATTGGCAAATCTTATTTTAACTATGAATGGAGCTTACGGAAGAAATGCGGGAAGTAGGTTATCGCACGGACGAAAATTTCTCGCGATGCCCGCGCATAATCGCCGCGATGATTCGTCGTCATCAATTCTCGCGAAAGTTCCTCTCGACGATGCGTTTGTCCAGTTTTATTTTATTCTTACTTTTCTCCCCTTTTTTTTATTTTCATACTTGATTCGATCGCCGCTTCTCCACGCCATGATTTTCCAAGAGGCGAATTCCCGAAGGAAATATCATCCATCTGTTTTCGGACACGAATGTTCGATTGGGAGAGGTACATCGGTTCATCGCACGATGACGTCACGTCGAGGTAGAACGTAAGGAAGGGAGTACAAAGTGGTATCGGTTAAAAATACAGTGATCGACCACGATAGGCGAAGGGGACAGCGGCGACGACGACAACGATGACGACGACGTCGACGGCGGCGGCAGCGACGACGACGAAGAAGAAGAACCGACCGCGGGTGACAGTTGCGAGCAACGTGTTCCACCCTCGTCCGAACACTCCGCGGCAGCTCGAAGCAAAAACTCAAAGTATAGTGAGTTACGACGGGGTTAGCGAAGAAGGGGGTGGTTTGCCTGAGGAACGGCCATAAGAAAATTACTTGCGTTGAATATCTTATTCGATACGTAAGCAGTTCCGCCTGGAGCGGTCTCTCCGTCGTGGGGATGCATATTGTCGTCGGTCGATACTCGGCGAAAGAAAGGGGCACAAAATGTAATTGATAGCCCGCTCATTGCGCGCTCGATCTTAGAACAGCAGGTCCATCGGACGAGTAAGACAGAAATCGAGCGCGCGTTTCACGCGACTGATCGCGCCGCTCTTCAATTTCGCTTCTAAATTCGTCGTCCGCTCGGCAAAATTCTCGGGAATTTTTAATTCGTACCACGATAACGCCACGTGTCTTTGCAACTTTCTCTCTCTCTGCGCTACGATATACTTTAATAGAAACCGTGCGGCAGATTAGTTCGAGAACGCGCGCGCACTCGCACGCGTAAATAATCGCTCTTCATTCGTCAATGGTGCACGGCCTGTTAGAAGTTTCGATCGTCATGCAGTTCAATTGACGCTGCGTATAAGTGCGTAAGTGAGACGGTTGTGCGAGCGCACGTACGCGTGTATCACGATATAGAGCTCGAATATACGTACTAATACAGCGGGCGAGCACACGTGTTTGTGCACACGCACGGGAGATTCGAAGCAACAGCTGAGCAGTTTAAAGCACCTGCGCTCAATAAGCCGGCATATTCCATAGTTCGCTTACGCGGCAGACCCCGTACGCTGGAGGACACCTTGATACGTCCGCGATACCGCCGTAGTATCGAGAAGTCGCGGGAGGATTCGCGGAAGACGATGCGCGAGGTGTCACGAAAGTACAACGATCCCGCAGGTAAAACGACGAACTTTTATTTTTTTCCATTTTTTTTCACATTGTTACTGAGTCAAGCAAGTCTTGAAGAAGCAATTTTTTTTACAAGAGCGCACGGCATTTTAAAAGTGAAGTGTGCCAGCTGCGGTCACGCGCAAGACTATAGGTGTTTCCTCCTCTTTTCAACAACAACGGAGAATCGCAAGTTACGCAAGAGGAAGGATCGTATCGCTGCAAGACGAGCTCGCTCGCTCGCTCGTCGCCGTGTTTGAGGTATTGCCCGGCGTGTCCTCATTGCGCGTTTGATTCACTATTACGTAAAGGTTCAATTACGACAAGTTAACGCGTTCTCTCGGCCGCTTCCTCGAAGAGGAGCGATTCGTTCCGAGAAATTGCCGGGCAGTTCCGTTGGCAATTACTTTGGAGGGGTGCCGCGCTCTGCGGGACTCGTTACACCAAAGGTGACATATGGTGCCGACCTCGATAAGGTCTACGGAACGATTGTACCTGGATAGGCAGGGACGCTTCGAGGGGGGTCGGACGAACGTCTGTCTTTCCTATTTTTGATCGGTGCTTCCCCGTGCGCCGTCATGCGTGGGACGAGAAGGGGAAAACAAAAAGGTGCCCCGCCGGAAATGGCTTCAGGAACTCTCCCACTGTTGCGTCGATTCGGAAGTAGACACGACGAGCTAATTACACGCGTATTCAAGGAAGGCTAGCAGCGCGCAGGCAGAGTCTTACCAAGATATACGCGATGGCCGATCTTCCATCGGCGCTCTCGAGCGATCGAACGAGGGATGATACGCGATTATATTTTCTTTCCTATTTGAAAATCCAATTTGTCATCATACACGATGAAACAGATGTCACGTAAGGACGCTCTGGGATGTGTCAGCGAGACGTATCGTAAGATCAATGACTATTGTTTCAGAGTGCAAGAAATACACATCGGCGAGTCGCCAATGACCATTTCCTGTGCGTCATACGATATTTATCATTTAAGCAGGTGGATAGATTTCAAAGAGCGATTATAGTGCACAGTGATAGGGTCCCGCAAGTAATACATAGGATAGTTAATGCATGGGGAGCCCTCGATGGAACTTCAAGGTGATGATCTATATTACGAGCGATCGTTTTCCTAAGTAGATGATACGACATACGGAGGTACTCAGCGATTCGAGTCGCGAATCGCGCGAGTCGTGCGACAAAATTTCTCGACCAACTCACGAAGCGTAACGTTGCCCGCCCCCCGCCGTTCCCTTGCGTAATTTTCAGCTCCCTCGCGGGAAACAGCCGAAGAAGCGGTGGAAAGGAAGGAGTGAGAGAGAGTTCCTGCGCGAGCATCACATGGTGTACGTAGCCCACATGGCGTTGTCGAGGTAACACAGCAATGGCATGTGCATCGGAATTCCACCCCCTGTAGGTGTCATGTGGCGAGAGCGTGCTCGCAGGGGGTTGCATGGGAACTCGACTGTGGTCATCAGTCCATGTCCGTCGCGTATATACACGCACGCCTCCGCTTAGGTATGTACGACTTCACCCTCCCGATATAAAATTATTGTAACATTCGTTTCGTCATTATGCTTACGACACGGGGGATAGGCGTACCACCCTCGCCCCGTAACACGCATCCGCGACCGCACAAACACGCGGGAGCGCACGGTCTTGCTTAAGCGCGAACGTGCAGACGTGCGCATGTATTAAACACGTGCACAGGCGAAATGTACGCGGAGGTACTCACACGCGCTGGAGGCGCACACGGGGGCACATTGTGTACGTACACATACGGTTCACACGCGTTCAGCATATTATCGGCCTGCTCTGATGCAACAAGTTGACCGGGTGTCAATTGATGTGTTATTAATTGGAGGTTAATTGCGTTAATGCGCTGCCGACCCCGCCTCTCTGTCGTCTACCCGTTCTCCCACCCCCGACGCCCACCACACCCGCCTTCAACGAGCTCCACTGTTTTATTATTATTTTGCATTCGAATCGTTTCGATTCAACACACACTGGCACGCGCCCAAACCAAACTGGTGCGAGAGAGAGAGCGACCGAGCGAGCGAGAACCGCCGACCCGGGAGGGCGGACCGGAGAGAGCGCGAGAGAGCATTTAAAAGCGGCGGCCTGTCACCGATTTTCATAATTCACAGCTCGTTAAATTTGTTTCGCTTTTTGCCCCGCTTTTCGCGGTTACGCGCCCCGACGCCATTAATCTACCTTCGGTCGTTTTCAATGAGTTTAATCGCGTTTCAAAAACAATGTGGGTCAACGCCACGCTTGTGTTATTCCTGACACGTGAGCATGACCTTCTCGCCGTTTTCATTTCGATTTCGGTTCCCATTCATGCCGTTGTAGATAGCGCGAAATAATGAGCACCGGTGTTTTTCGCGCGTTTGACGCCGCGGCGTCCCGTGTGTTCGCTGAGGATTGCGTTGCGAGCAGAGAAATAAGACGTAAAAGTGTACTTTAAGACGACAGTCGAATTTTGTTCCTGCGGAAGATACCTATGTAGAATCTTGTCTGTTTGCTTTGCTCTAGCAATAATAGAACATTAGATCTGAAAGTATTCTAAGTAAATGTGTGTTTTAACAGTACACGTTATACACGTATAGACAATTTTAAACGCTACCAGCTTCCTGCCAGGAGGATGAATAGATCCATATCACGAGAAGTTAGAGAGGGACGGGGAACATTCTATGGGACTTTTATTCAACGCGAGATCGACGGTCGCCCGGAAATTTCCCAAGGTGTGATCGCAAATCTCTTAGACTTTTCACGAGACGTTTGCACGACCTCTCTCTAATGTGTTCCCATGACTTCTCGTGGTGGGAAACGCTAACGTCTGATATTGGAGGTTACAAAAAATTCTTGCGGCGCCCTTCGTACTCCCTCAGAAAAGGAAGTAGGAACAACGGTCCTTGTCCTCAATGGCGTGGACGTTAAGTTACGGTATCGAAATTGAGAGCCGGGTGTTTATGTAGCGAAAATAATATCACTTTTGTTTAATGATCTACAATATTAATTTAACGGTTTGCACAGGATCAATTACACTGGTCAATTTAATCTCTATATTTATAATTTTCGACTAATATTGCATATAAAAGTAAAATCAATAAAGCTCGTTAAAACCATTTATCAGTTGCATTTCGCTAATTTTGATGTCGTTAAAAATTTATCATATCTCTAGCAACGTTATTTCGCATGCGACCGGCTGACCGGCAACCGGTAACCGATCTAATCTAATGCAACGCTATTACAAACAAGAGAAAACTATTGAATTTACGTCCCATTATTTTCTATAGTTTAACGTAGAACGAACCTGAAGCCTGTTAACACGGTCGCGTGGCCACTCTATTACTTACAAAAATTCGACGAGAAGCCT